TTTAAATGTAGATTCTAATATCTAAGGTAAAAGATAAGCAATTTTATTTGTCTTATTGCAATCATGTAACACTTAAGTCTTTTGAATATGTTTTTTTCCTGTTGAATTCTTACTTTACCTGGGACATAATAAATCTTGTGTCGACAACGATATTTTTGTTGAAGTCGTTAAATGTTAAGGTTTTGGGCCGGTCTAAAACGCAGACGCTTATGCAGACAATATAGAATATATAGTAAAACGCAGACGATATAGAATATATAGTAAAACGCAGACAATATAGATATAGAGTGTTTTCACAAAATGCAGACGATATAGAAATAGAAGGTGTGAATTAGACTCTTAACAGCTTGTCACCACTTTATTTTTCAGATTAACTTTATGAAATAAGAGATTTATAAGAATTATTATTTGATACAAAAATAACATTTTAATTAGAGATTAGAAATCTTTTTATTTAAATGTTTTATTAGTATGATAATATCAACAATAAATATATAAATAGTGATATAAGAAAGTTTTTTTTTAATTCTATGTTAGATTTTAATTAGATTAATTTGGAATAAAATATTTAATACTACTGTAGCTTTGTATAATTTCAGCGTTTTTTTTCTCTACTTTGGGAATGGTGCCGGTACCAGACTGATTGGGAAAAATGCGTTATTTTGACTAAAATTGGGAATTTTTTTAATGCATTTTTTCAGCTACAAATGAGATTAGACATCATGAATAAAGATAGCTAACAGCTTCCACTGTCTAGATAGAACTATTGAGTGGTGATTTATATGAATATGTTGGATTTAAATGATTTTAGAAAAATCACTTTGCCTTGTGGGCATTTTGAACAGTCATTTTGGGAATTTAACATTGGAAATTGGGAATTTTAATGTCTACCCTCTATTGGGAATGGTACCGTTTTAGGGTAGTAGTTATATAAAGAAAAAAAACACTGAATTTGTAACATAAAAACATCAAAAGTTGTACTATATAGCTATATTGTCTGCGTTTTACTATATGTTTCATATTGTCTGCATTTACTCTATATCTATAGTGTCTGCATTTTACTATATGTTTCATATTGTCTGCATTTATTAAAAGTTGTACTATATATCTATAGTGTATGCGTTTTACTATATGTTTCATATTGTCTGCATTTACTCTATATCTATAGTGTCTGCGTTTTACTATATGTTTCATATTGTCTGCATTTATCACAAGTTGTACTATATATCTATATTGTCTGCGTTTCACTATATGTTTCATATTGTCTGCATTTACTCTATATCTATAGTAGTCTGCATTTTACTATATGTTTCATATTGTCTGCATTTATTAAAAGTTGTACTATATATCTATATTGTCTGCGTTTTACTATATGTTTCATATTGTCTGCATTTACTCTATATCTATAGTGTCTGCGTTTTACTATATGTTTCATATTGTCTGCATTTAACAAAAGTTGTACTATATATCTATATTGTCTGCGTTTTACTATATGTTTCATATTGTCTGCATTTATCACAAGTTGTACTTTATATCTATAGTGTCTGCATTTTACAAAATGAATTTAATCTTAAACAAATATTTTCTCTATTATATCTATAGTGTCTGCATTTTACTATATGTTTCATATTGTCTGCATTTATCACAAGTTGTACTATATATCTATATTGTCTGCGTTTCACTATATGTTTCATATTGTCTGCATTTACTTTATATCTATAGTGTCTGCGTTTTACTATATGTTTCATATTGTCTGCATTTATCAAAAGTTGTACTAGTCTATATATCTATATTGTCTGCATTTATCAAAAGTTGTACTATTATATATCTATATTGTCTGCGTTTTACTATATGTTTCATATTGTCTGCATTTATCACAAGTTGTGCTTTATATCTATAGTGTCTGCATTTTACAAAATGAATTTAATCTTAAACAAATATTTTCTCTATTATATCTATAGTGTCTGCGTTTTACTATATGTTCCATATTGTCTGCATTTATCACAAGTTGTACTATATATCTATATTGTCTGCATTTTACTATATGTTTCATATTGTCTGCATTTACTCTATATCTATAGTGTCTGCGTTTTACTATATGTTTCATATTGTCTGCATTTATCACAAGTTGTACTTTATATCTATAGTGTCTGCATTTTACAAAATGAATTTAATCTTAAACAAATATTTTCTCTATTATATCTATAGTGACTGCGTTTTACTATATGTTTCATATTGTCTGCATTTATCACAAGTTGTACTATATATCTATATTGTCTGCGTTTCACTATATGTTTCATATTGTCTGCATTTACTCTATATCTATAGTGTCTGCGTTTTACTATATGTTTCATATTGTCTGCATTTATCAAAAGTTGTACTATATATCTATAGTGTCTGCATTTTACTATATGCTACATATTGTCTGCATTTATCAAAAGTTGTACTATTATATATCTATATTGTCTGCGTTTTACTATATGTTTCATATTGTCTGCATTTATCAAAAGTTGTACTAGTCTATATATCTATATTGTCTGCATTTATTAAAAGTTGTACTATATATCTATATTGTCTGCGTTTTACTATATGTTTCATATTGTCTGCATTTATCACAAGTTGTACTTTATATCTATAGTGTCTGCATTTTACAAAATGAATTTAATCTTAAACAAATATTTTCTCTATTATATCTATAGTGACTGCGTTTTACTATATGTTTAATATTGTCTGCATTTACTCTATATCTATAGTTTCGCATTTTACTGTTACTTTTAACAAAATGAATTTAATTTTCAGCAAATATTTTCTCTATTATTTCTATATTGTCTGCATTTTACTATATGCTACATGTCTGCATTTATCACAATTTTCACTATCTATCTATATTGTCTGCATTTTACTATTACTGTTTACAAAATGTATTAAAGATTTAATTGAATTTAGTGTTCAAAGACTTTTTTCATATGCTTCTGTAAATTATGATATATACTTAAAGTGGTTGGAAGTTTTCAATAATCATACTTTTTTAATATAATTGTATCAAATTATGTGTTTCTCTGCAGAAACAAAGAGACACACACATTTAAATTAAGTGGCAATATACTAATACACAGGATGTGGTCACACTTTCCTTATCAACAGGGGACAATCGGTGGGGGTAACTCTAATCCCCTTGGCTATAGGCAATTAATTATGCACGTGTGAAGTGACACTAATCTAATCAATTCCAAACAATCATCAACAACTATATGCAATCATGAAGCATGACATAAGTAAGTCATGGAAATAAATTATGCACTCACTGAAAAGAATGGTACCACATCATAGATGACAGCTTCATTCAGAATATCACGAACTTGGTATCCTGAGTATGAAAATACACTAAAACTGCCCTTGCACAAATAGTCTGATAAATACTTGGCTTGACTGTGACCTAACACCAAAGCCATAATGATAAACACAATTTAAACAAAAACACACAAATATTTAATACTATTTAAATATTCACTATTTTGTTCGCTATAAAAATATCAGTAATAATTTTATAATCTCCAAATGATAAATCCAGCAACAGAAATTATCCACAATATGTATCACACTTTTATTATTAATACTATAAGATGTATGAGAAAGGGATATTCAAACAATGTATTTTTATACTATCAAAATAGTAGCTCAATAATAATTATCATTAACTCATGTCTAGATAATGATATGATTGGATATTAGAATTAAAATTATATAATTATTTGTCCAAATTTAATAAGGACATAGTACAACTTTTGATAAATGCAGACAATATGTAGCATATAGTAAAATGCATACACTATAGATATATAGTACAACTTGTGATAAATGCAGACAATATGAAACATATAGTAAAATGCAGACACTATAGATATATAGTAAATGCAGACAATATGAAACATATAGTTAAACGCAGACAATATAGATATATAGTACAACTTGTGATAAATGCAGACAATATGAAACATGTAGTAAAGTGCAGACACTATAGATATAGAGTAAATGCAGACAATATGAAACATATAGTGAAACGCAGACAATATAGATATATAGTACAACTTGTTATAAATGCAGACAATATGAAACATATAGTAAAACGCAGACACTATAGATATAATAGAGAAAATATTTGTTTAACATTAAATTCATTTTGTAAAATGCATACACTATAGATATATAGTACAACTTTTGATAAATGCAGACAATATGAAACATATAGTAAAACGCAGACACTATAGATATAATACAGAAAATATTTGTTTAACATTAAATTCATTTTGTAAAATGCATACACTATAGATATATAGAACAACTTTTGATAAATGCAGACAATATGAAACATATAGTAAAACGCAGACACTATAGATATAGAGTAAATGCAGACAATATGAAACATATAGTAAAACGCAGACAATATAGATATATAGTACAACTTTTGATAAATGCAGACAATATGTAGCATATAGTAAAATGCAGACACTATAGATATATAGTACAACTTTTGATAATTACGTTCTTGTCCACATTTCTTTTATGTTACAAATTATACAAAGCTATAGTAGTATTAAATATTTTATTCCAAATTAATTTAATTAAAATCTAACATAGAATAAAAAAAAACTTTCTTATATCACTATTTATATATTTATTGTTGATATTATCATACTAATAAAACATTTAAATAAAAAGATTTCTAATCTCTAATTAAAATGTTATTTTTGTATCAAATAATAATTCTTATAAATCTCTTATTTTATAAAGTTAATCTGAAAAATAAAGTGGTGACAAGCTGTTAAGAGTCTAATTCACACCTTCTATTTCTATATCGTCTGCATTTTGTGAAAACACTCTATATCTATATTGTCTGCGTTTTACTATATATTCTATATTGTCTGCGTTTTACTATATATTCTATATTGTCTGCATAAGCGTCTGCGTTTTAGCCTGTGCCTAAGGTTTTCACATTAACTGTGACGTTTAACACACGGAAGTGAACTTGTAGACATGTTATGGTTCAAATGCGACGAAATAATTCCAGGAGTAGCAATTGCTGTTGGTTTTATTGCCATTTGTCTTGGAGGATTTTTTCTGTCTTACGAATACGACCCTATTGTTAATGTAGAAATCCTTTGCAGGTTAGTTGCGATCGTAAATTGTCCTGCATTCATTAAATATTCATGAATCGAATTCGAAGTAGTCTTTTATTCGTACCAAGTCAAACTCGACCTAGATTGGCTAGAAATGAATGATTTTACACGATACAACAAAATATGTCTTATGCTTTATATAGAAAAGCGTGATTTTCTACCACAAGTTTGATTTGATGGGTCATTTGGTTTCATAGTGTAGGTCACACAGTCCAAATATGGAAAAACGTTAACACTGGTAGTCAGATAGGGTCAAATAGTTCAGGCTTCCATTACTTTACATGTAGCTTTAATTCTGACGTTGTGCAACAGTAAACCGGTCTAGCAGTGCTAAAAATAACATATTTGCTGAATTCACTTAACCAGCATTAGAGATAGCGTGCGTATCAGCGTCATTTACGCAAGCAAATACTTGGGATATGCCAGCTTCGTCATCATTTTGGCGTATATTTACACATAATAATTACAGTTTACGCATTTAGTGAAACAAATTTGGCGTAGGCAATGTTTACATTGACACCGTTAAAAATGACTGACTGGTTACAGGGTTCTCGGGGACGCTTATTTCGGCGTCCCGGTACGCATGTTTATTACAGCTGGACGCAAATATTTCAGAGCAAGGATTCCACGTACGCTTAATTTTGCATGGGGACGCATAAACATTACCGATTGTTTACAACCAGAAATACACAAATGCGTTAGCGCGTGTCAGTCTATAGGTAGGCGGTCCTATGCACATCAACCCATGAAGCGATTAGCCAATCAGCGATATCGCTACCGATCATTATCACGCTATAGTGATCAGACTAATTAAATGTATACACGCGCTGTACAGTTCATGTAATTCAGATATAACACAAGGTGATAGATCAACAGTTGATTGGAAATTAGCAAATTTTACCGACAAAAGGATAAAATTATCGACTATTTACGCCGCAAGTTTAAAGACTGTTTTCTCAATTACAAATGAGTGTAATTTGAATGATTGTCGAATATGTTCGCATAATAATGATTGTCGATTATTTTCGGCATTTTCTAGGCACAATTTTGCTTTAGTTTCATTCTTGCAAAATCGTTCTATAAGGGTATTAAGAATTTAAGATATTGTGCCGAAATGCCAGGTACACATACGCTTTTCTTTGATATTTAGATTCTATCCGAAAATTGATCCAAACATCGGCGATTTCACGTTCGCCAGAAACCCGAAAATTTCGCAAAAATTCTTGGTTTCCATGCCAAACATTCGAATGAATTGTTCCTTTATTATTTAATAAACATTAAATCTTTAAAAATCAATCTTCAATTTGCCCCCTTTTGAAGATATTTGCTAAAATAATTGTCGATCGGATGAATCTCTTACACACTGTGTGAAGCTGTACACGATTTTCCTATTCATTCCGCTAAACGCTGCCTATATACATTTACGTTTTTCTTTTACAAATACAAACTTTTTGTCTTTAGAGTGGACTTATTTAACCAGAATAAAATTTGATTTGGTATAAAAGTGAAAAAAAAGACGATTTCCATGTGTTGATGCATTATAATGAAATAATTTCATAATAAATATTAACAACAAAACAATAATTATACTATGTAGTTCAGAGTTTCTTTTGAATAACTATAAACTTTGGAAGTCTCTTGAAGATTCAAAATATCAGCAATGCTATTGTGAGCATTGAATGACTAATCTGTAAACATATTAATTGCGATGCGCTTTTGGACTTTTTCAGGGTTGGGAGTCCATGGACTCCATGTTTTAAAGTCCTAGTGAGAACCCTGTGGTTAGCGTACTGTTCTTTAAAGGTGTGTTATTTTCTCAGCCTGGGTTTATAATTGCAAACCAGTCGACTTTGTATCACTGAGACGCTCGGTAATAGATGTATATAAGATAAATCAAGCGTCGGTCACGTTATTGAAGTAGACGATAAAATATTGTCAATTTTATCAAGTTGTATACATTGATAATGTCTTGTTCGAAACCCAAACAACGAAAAATCGTCATATTCTACTCTGTTACAAGCCTGGTGTCTTCTCAGTGTGTAATTCAGCCAATTATTGAAGAAATTTTGACTATTGTTTGCAAGAGCGAAAAAAACTCATACGACTCATTTGATGCTACGAGTAAAGATTTCTCAGATACGACAGATGTAGTGCGTTTGAATTGTGCCTTTGGTTGTAACAATAAAATGGGTGGAAAATGGGAAACAGAACAGATTCTCAACATCCAAAAGTCTAACATTGAACAGTAAAAAATAAATTAATTTCAACCTTTTATTGTGTACCTAGCTCCTACTTTTTAAAGAAAAAAATACAATGAAACTAAGTTATGCATCACAGCTAATACTTTTATACGCCCGTTTGAAAAACGGGACGTATTATGGGAACGCCCCTGGCGGGCGGGCGGGCGGGTGGGTGGCGTCCAATTTTGTCCGGAGCATATCTCCTACATGTATGGAGGGATTTTAATAAAACTTCATAGAAATGTTCACCACTATGAGGAGCAGTGTTGCGCACATGAACCAGGTCTCTAGGTCAAAGGTCAAGGTCACACTTAGAGCTCATTGGAAAATGCTTGTCCGGAGCAAAACTTCCACATGTATAGAGGGATTTCAATATTACTTGGCACAAATGTTCACCATTGTGAGGCGGAGTGTCACGTGCAAGATTCGGGTCCTTGCGGCCAAGGTCAAGTTCACCCATAGAGGTCAAAGTTCAGATAAAAATATGAAGATGTGTATATGGACCATTTAGTAATCATTTATTTAGGGATTGTAACACAAATGGTCATTATCAAGACTATAGCTGTGATACATATAATTTAGGTCAATATATACAAGGTCAAGGTCACTAAAGATGATGAAATATCCAGATTTTGTAAATAGAATTTAATCAAAGGGCGACAACAAAGTTATTACTTTGTTCATAAATGACTTACACAATTACTCCCCTTGATCTACTTTCACTTTCAATTCTAAAAATAGAATTTAATCAAAGGGCATAAAATAATCCTCTTTCTTGGACTTGAGTATGTTCTAAAGAATGTAACATTTATTTACACATGTTTCATTCATTGGTCAAGATTCTTAACTGTGATAACTATGGTGTTCTGTAGACTTGGTATTTGTTCATAAAGATCATACAGTAATTACCTTATCAAATGTAAATACTTTCTCATAGAAATTTAATTATATTTATGCCCCCATTTCGAAGAAAAGGGGGTATATTGCTTTGCACTTGTCGGTCCGTCGGTCCGTAGACCAAATGGTTTCCGAGTGATAAGTAAAGAACCCTTAGGCCTAGGAACTTCAAACTTGGTATGGTGATTGGTCATGACCAGTAGATGACCCCTATTGATTTTGGGGTCAAGGGGTCAAAGGTCAAGGTCACATTGACCTTGTAAGCAAAAACGGTTTCCGATCAATAACTAAAGAACCTTAAGGCCTAGGAACTTCAAACTTGGTATGGTGATTGGTCATGATCAGTAGATGACCCCTATTGATTTTGGGGTCAAGGGGTCAAAGGTCAAGGTCACATTGACCCAGGCTGTCCAGCGTCCCTAAAATTCCTAAAAAATCCTAATTTTTTTAACTTTTGCTAAAATTCCTAAAAAAATGAAAAATTCAAAGGGAATTCCTAAAAAAGCCCTATTTTTTCACTTAAATTCCTATTTTTTTATCTTTTGTAACAAAACCTATTGCGAAACAACCATGTTTCAATCACAACCTTAATTCGAACACAGTCTGTGGAGCTGATGTCATGTCTGACTAAATTGCATAAAGTCACATGTTGTACTTACTTCAACTCCTGCAGAAATGTACTTGATTAATTGTCAGATGTTATCAGAAAAATAATAAGAAACCTTTTTTTTTTAAATGGAACAATGAAAATTGTCCTACTTTGACTATATCAAAATTGTAACCTGTTTAAAATTTTGATAAAAAATTTCTAAGGAAGTTTTATTGGCTACAGAGTTTTACCATAAACCTCTGTCTTATGTGTATTCAAAGCAACTTTTTACATGATGAACCACTAAATTTCATCAAACTTTATGTAGGGGTCCTTATTAATAAAATCTTAATTTGTAATCAAGTTATTTTCAAGTGAGGACTGTAGAACAGATCTTTTGCAAATGATACCAGTGGCAGATCTAGACAAGTTTCCATATTTGCTAATTATAAAGTGGGTAAAGTAAATTGGCAGTAATGATTGGATGCTTTTACCATTTTGCTACCCAATTAGGGTACTAAGAAGTGACACCTTCATCTACCCATTTTGTACACATTAACATGTTCTGAACATATGTTATAACATATAGTTTAAGTTTTTTAAAATCTGGAAAAAAAAACTGTTGAAAATCATTGAAAAAACTGACACTGTTGTCACTGTTGTGAAATTTTCTACAATTTTTAGTAGCCTGATTTATCTTGAACAAATTCTTCATAGGAATATATACCCTGCTGTTTGAATTTAAGTTTTAATATTCCTGGGAATGACATGAGTGTGTCATATTGTTTTTTAAGAAAGATCAAGCCTTGCTGAAAATGTACCAACCTTAAAATGAATAAATGTTGATAAGAAATGCATTTATAGCTAAAATAAATTTAAAGCATAATTTCCTCTTCCATTTATTATTGGCTAATCAAAGCTTAACTAATTGAACATTAGTTATTCCAGGATACTTAAAACTTTGAAAATGTTTTCATTCTAGTGTTTTAATGTAGTTTTTCAGCTCTTTTTAAAGGCAGTTGACCAGTGAATCAATTTCTTCACTGGTGACTATGGAACACTGGTAACACTTGTGCTATAACCGAACTAGAGCATTATTTGTGAGTTACTTTTGTGTCAAATATGCAAAGTTGAGCCCATATCATGGTCTTTTGAGGCCATAATTTAGTTATAAAATTCCAAATTGTAGCCCTAAAATTTCTTTTATTTAACCTAAAATTCCTAATTTTAGCCCTAAAATTTCTTAAAAAATGCCCTAAAATTTGCCCTAATTTTTTGTCAGAAGGTGCTGGACAGCCTGATTGACCTTGTAAGCAAAAACGATTTCCGATCAATAACTAAAGAACTTTAAGGCCTAGGAACTTCAAACTTGGTATGGTGATTGGTTATGACCAGCAGATGACCCCTATTGATTTTGGGGTTAAGGGGTCAAAGGTCAAGGTCACATTGACCTTGTAGGTAAAAACGGTTTCCGATCAATAACGAAAGAACCCTTAGGCCTAGGGACTTCAAACTTGATATGGTGATTGGTCATGATCAGTAGATGACCCCTATTGATTTTGGGGTCAAGGGGTCAAAGGTCAAGGTCACATTGACCTCTTAGGTAAAAACGGTTTCCGATCAATAACTAAAGAACCCTTAGGCCTAGGAACTTCAAACTTGGTATGGTGATTGGTCATGACCAGCAGATGACCCCTATTGATATTGGGGTTAAGGGGTCAAAGGGCAAGGTCACATTGACCTTGTAGGTAAAAATACTTTCCAATCAATAACTTAAGAACCCTTAGGCCTAGGAACTTCAAACTTGGTATGGTGATTGGTCATGACCAGCAGATGACCTATTGATTTTGGGGTCAAGGGGTCAAAGGTCAAGGTCACATTGACCTTGTAGGTAAAAACAGTTTCCGATCAATTAACTAAAAATGCGTGCCTAGGAACTTCAAACTTTGTATGATGATTGGTAGTGACCAGCAGATGACCCCTATTGAGTTTTGGGTCAAGGGGTCAAAGGTCAAGGTCACATTGACCTTGTAAGTAAAAACGGTTTCTGATCAATAACTTAAGAACGCTTAGGCCTAGGAACTTCAAACTTGGTATGGTGATTTGTAATGACCAGCAGATTACCCCTATTGATTTTGGGATCAAGGGGTCAAAGGTCAAGGTCACATTGACATTGTAAGTAAAAACGGTTTCTGATCAATAACTAAAGAACGCTTCGGCCTAGGAACTTCAAACTTGGCATGTTGATTGGTCATGACCAGCAGATGACCCCTATTGATTTTGGGGTCAAAGGTCAAGGTCACATTGACCTTGTATGTTAAAACGGTTTCCGATCAATAACTAAAGAACCCTTAGGCCTAGGAACTTCAAACTTGGTATGGTGATTGGTCATGACCAGCAGATGACCTATTGATTTTGGGGTCAAGGGGTCAAAGGTCAAGGTCACATTGACCTTGTAGGTGAAAACGGTTTCCAATCAATTAACTAAAAACGCTTAGGCCTAGGAACTTCAAACTTTGTATGATGATTGGTCGTGACCAGCAGATTGAGTTTTGGGTCAAGGGGTCAAAGGTTAAGGTCATGACCAGTAGATACTTGATAACCCTTATTAATTGTTTGATCACTGGGTCAGAAGTCATGCATAATAACCTTATCACATGACTAATTGGCTGCTGATAGGGGGCATACATGTTTTACAAACATATCTTGTTTAATTTTCAAGTAAATATCAGTTCAGCTCTCCTACATGTATGGAGGGATTTTCATGAAACTTCATAGAAATGTTCACCACTATGAGGAGCAGTGTCGCGCACATGAACCAGGTCTATAGGTCAAAGGTCAAGGTCACACTTGGAGCTCATTGAAAAATGCTTGTCCGGAGCAAAACTTCCACATGTATAGAGGGATTTCAATATTACTTGGCACAAATGTTCACCATTGTGAGGCGGAGTGTCACGCGCAAGATTCAGGTCCTTGCGGCCAAGGTCAAGGTCGCACATAGAGGTCAAAGTTTAGATAAAAATATGAAGATGTGTATAGGGACGATTTAATCATCATTTATTGAGGGATTGTAACACAAATGGTCATTATCATGACTACGGCTGTGACACATGTACTTTAGGTCAATATATGCAAGGTCAAGGTCACTAAAGATGATGAAATATCCAGATTTTGTCTGGAGCATATCTCCTACATGTATGGAAGAATTTTTATAATACTTTATGGAAATGTTCACCACCATGATATGTATTGCTCCATGCATGATCCAGGTCAAAGGTCAAGGTCACACTTAGAGCTCATTGAAAAACGCTTGTCCGGAGCAAAACTTCTACATTCATAAGGGGATTTCAATATAACTTGGCACAAATGTTCACCATTGTGAGGCTGAGTGTCGCACGCTTAATTCAGATCCCTGCGACCAAAGTCAATGTTACACATAGAGGTCAAAGTTCAGATAAAAATTTGAAGATGTGTATAGGGACCATTTAGTCATCATTTATTGATGGATTGTAGCACAAATGGTAACTATCATGACTACAGGTGTGACACATTTAATTTAGGTTAATATTTGCAAGGTCAAGGTCACTGGAGATGATTAAATATCCAGATGTTGTCCGGAGCATATTTTCTACATGCATGGAGGAATTTTAATGTTACTTTATAGAATTGTTCACCACCATGAGACTTAGTGCCCTGCACATGAACCAAGTCTCTAGGTCAAAGGTGAAGGTCACAGTTAGAGCTCATAGAAAAACGCTTGTCTGGAGCAAAACTTCTACATGCATAGAGGGATTTCAATATAATTTGGCACAAATGTTCATCATTGTGAGGCTGAGTGCTGTGCATAAAATTCAGGTCCCTGCGACCAAGGTCAAGGTCACACATCCTGTGCATATCTTCCTATTGATTGTTTAAAGGTTCATTTAACAACACAGTGCCAAGAATAAAAACTTGCTTGCTAGTTTCATTTATAAGTAAGATAATTTACTGTCTTTTAAATTTAAAATAAAACAGTAATCTCAACATGTAATTTGGTACATAAATGGTTGATTATTAGCCCACAAGCTAAAAGAATTCAGTGTGGGTCACAACTGTTTGCATGTATATTATTATATTTACTTCATTTCACATAAAAATGGTTCAAGTTCATATAATATGCCTTAAATCTAAATATAAATAAACCTTGCCATGCTGCAATATTTTTGATAAATTATAAATCTGAGAGCAAGTTTTTTATTCTTTTTAGGCTGTACTGTATAAATATAATGTATCATAATATGCGGCAAATTGACTCCCAAGTTCTTAAAACTGAGAGTCAATTTTACTCCTTCATTTGGCCAGAAACTGGCAGTTTACTCTGAAGTATAAAAAACAGAGAGTATTGACTCTTGAGTTAAAATAATTATCTACAACACTGCTTTACCTAGTAGACAGACTGTTTTCTCCTTTACCAGTTCCTCTCTCATGTCCCCCCCCCCCTTGAGCGCTTGAGTTTAAACTCTTTATTTTTACACTATACGTCACAGTATTTTTGCAATGACCTGTATATTTAGCTCCTCTTCCTAACAAGTCATTCAATCTCGTTCGCGCATGCTTAGTAGACTGGGTATATAAACCTAGCACGCTTCTGCAAATTCCTTTTCGATCCAGTCTCTGAGTTCTTTATAATATTCTATTTTATATAAAGGTTCAAACTCTATTAACTTTATGTTACTTAATGACCAGTCATGATGGAAATTTTATGCCAATCATAAATAAAATAAGTTAAACATATATGTTGTATTTATTATCATTTGTTCCTTTAAAGTGACTATGTTGGAAAAATAATGACAATTAATTAAAACAAACACCTGTGGAATTTAACTGATATTATTCCCCCATATATTTTTTACTGGTTGTTGCTGTTGACAGGGAAAGTCTATTTCTAAAAAACAAACAGACGGAAAATTCTATATATACTTTTTTCAACAATCACGAGCAAGATCCGGTATCAAATGTCATACTGTCTGAGTATCACACTTCACGCAAAACTGCACTTCGTAGTACCGGAGATGGTGACTGCCTCCTCAATTCAGTACATGTGTATCAACTTCTTTGGTAGGAGATGAGTCGCGAAGCATTGAGCTCCGATACAATTGTTGTATAGAAATGGTGACAAACAGGGACAGAATAAAACAGCATTCATTGTACCCAAGACTGCAATGGATTTCTCCTGAGTATGAGAAAGACTGTGTTGACTGTGTTAAACCAGGTAGTTATGCCTCTGTGTGGAACATGATCGCATTATCCAACATGCTTAACATAAAAATAGAGTCAGTTTATCCTGCCGTAAATGGATCTAAGCATTATGCGTTCATACTGTTGAACAATGTTTTCAGACCACCATTCGTAGATCCTGAAATGGAAACAATTACAATAATGTGGACAAACACCCAACTCCCTCTCAAGAATGGTTTTGTGGCCAAGAGAAAGCTGGAATACTTGAATTATCACAATATTTCCATGCGAAAATCAAATATATACGAATATATGTAAGAAAATAATTCCAGTATAAAATGGTATATATCCAGTAGCCTCTATGCACGAAAATAAGATCCAAATGGAAGTATAATCATACGCAAATAAGATCTGTAAGCAAATGTTAGCTGTATTAAAATAATATCTGTGTGAAAAACTATATGTACGAAAATAACATCCAATGCTATCTACACGGAAATAAGAACTGTAAGAAAATAATACGTGTTCGAAAATAAGATCTGTATTGAAATATTATCTAATCGAAAATAAGATCCTTATGAAAATAATGTCTGCATTAGAATAAGATTTATACGAAAATAACAATTGTATGAAAATTAGGCATCTATATTAAAGTAATGTCCGTTTAATATTAGGAACTATACCAAAATAAGGTCCATATGAAAATGATTTATACGAAAATAAATGATAAATGAAAATAGGACTAATATGAAAAAATTAATATTTATATTTTGAAAAAGAAATTAACAAAGGAGTTTATAAATTTATAACTTTATTGCTTTAACTAAATAGTCTTTCTATTTGAGAGAGGGAAAATAATATAACGAATGGCACACGCAGTGTCACGCACACATGATAATCAACTGTAATCAATGCGCTAATACGATAATTGGATTATCGGACTTATCATAATTGACACATACTTATTAATGTCAATCATTAAAGGGTATTTGTTGGCGACTTACCACAGTCACCAAATCATACAACAACAACAACTTTTATAAGCAAATACATGTATAGACAAAAACTTGCCTTTGGCTAATGAACAGAAAACATACTTCAAATATTGATCATATATTCAAAGTATCTGTCCTGTTCTGTTCTATACAAACATATAAATCAATTTTACATGAAACAATATTCATCAACAAATATACATATATATATTAAGAAATGGTATAATAGTAGTTGGAACCGTCAGTGCGGTTTTAGTGCTGATTGATTTTTTTTCTCAAAATCATACCGATTTTTTAAAAAAAGATGTCAATTTATTCAGATATGTATTTGTTTAAATAAATTGTAATTATATTGATTGAAATGTTTTGAAAAATGCCATTAATGAGAATAAAATCGACCCTTTCTGGTCATGACGAGTCCTTTCCGGTATTAGTCATACCCGCCCCCCCCCTCCCTGACTGTTCTCCCCCTATTTTTTGGGAGGACTGTCTGCATTTGTGTGATATATGCAGACTGTTCCTCCTTGATTTTATTCTTACAGTACAAAGATAAAATAACTTTTTCCTGTTGCTGCTCTGACATCATCATTTTTTTAAGTGTCTAAAAATTTCAAATTTTTATACCCCCAAAAACGAAGTTTGGGGGGGTATATAGGAGTCACCCGGTGGTCGGTCGGTCGGTCGGTCGGTCCAGACGTCCGTTGCATTTTCCTTGTCCGGAGCATAACTTGAAGACTAATGATTGGAATTCAATATAACTACACACAATGGTCAAGCACATTGAGAGGAAGTGCAGTGCACAAGAACCATAACTCTATCTTGACTAATTACAGAGTTATTGCCCTTTGTTACTTTTCCTTGTCCGGGGCATAACTTGAAAACTACTGGTTGGAATTCAAAACAACTTCATACAATTGTCAAACACAATAAGGGGAAGTGCAGTGCACAAGAACCATAACTCTATCTAAAGTAATTACAGAGTTATTGCCCTTTGTTACTTTTCCATTCCTTTCTTTTGTCCGGACCATAACTTGAAGACTAATGGTTGGAATTCAATATTACTACATACAATGGTCAAGCACATTGAGAGGAAGTGCAGTGCACAAGAACCATAACTCTATCTTGACTAATTACAGAGTTATTGCCCTTTGTTTCTTTTCCTTGTCCGGGGCATAACTTGAAAACTACACGATGGAATTCAAAACAATTTCATACAATTGTCAAACACAATAAGGGGAAGTGCAGTGCACAAGAACCATAACTCTATCTAAAGTAATTACAGAGTTATTGCCCTTTGTTACTTTTCCATTCCTTTCTTTTGTCCGGAGCATAACTAGAAGACTAATTGTAGGAATTCATTATAACTTAATACAATGGTCAAGCACATTGAGAGGAAGTGCAGTGCACAAGAACCACAACTCCATCTGGACTTATTACAGAGTTATTGCCCTTTGTTACTTTTCTATGCCCGGGGGATAACTTGAAAACTACTGGTTGGAATTCAAAACAACTTCATACAATTGTCAAACACAATAAGGGGAAGTGCAGTGCACAAGAACCATAACTCTATCTAAAGTAATTACAGAGTTATTGCCCTTTGTTACTTTTCCTTGTCAGGAGCATAACTTGAAAACTACTGGATGGAATTCAAAACAACTTCATACAATTGTCAAACACAATAAGGGGAAGTGCAGTGCACAAGAACCATAACTCTATCTAAAGTAATTACAGAGTTTTTGCCCTTTGTTACTTTTCCATTGCTTTCTTTTGTCCGGACCTTAACTTGAAGACTAATTGATGGAATTCATTATAACTTAATACAATGGTCAAGCACATGGAGAGGAAGTGCAGTGCACAAGAACTATAACTCCATCTTGACTTATTACAGAGTTACTTCCCTTTGTTACTTTTCCTTGTCCAGAGCATAATTTGAAAACTACTGTTTGAAATTCAATACAACTTCATACAGTTGTCAAGGACATTAAAAGGAAGTGCAGTGCACAAGAGCCATAACTCCATTTTGACAAAATAAAGAGTTACTGCCCTTTGATACTTTTCCTTGTCCGGAGCATAACTTAAAACATACTGGTTGGAATTCAAAACAACTTCATACAATGGTCAAGCACAATAAGAGGAAGTGCAGTGCACAAGAACTATAACTCCATCTTCAGTATTTATAGAGTTATTGCCCTTTGTTTCTTTTCCTTGTTTTTCTGGACTTATTACAGAGTAATTCAAAAAATTTTCATCAATAGCCAACCACATTGAAAGGAAATGCAACATACAAGAACCACAACTATCTTTAATTGCCCACAACCATAACTCTATATTTCAATTCTTTTACAAGGTATTCTGTTACTAGTAACATCCTCATTTCTGAAGCAGTTTTGTGGGGGTATTAATCACATTTAGTGATAGTTCTAGTTATTATTTATTTTTAATTAAATTAACTAGATTTTCCTCCAAAAATATATGAAACTCATAGAATCTTTTTGCAATAATTATATGTTTTACTCATCATGTATACCTCCTGTTTTTTATTGTTTGCAGCATGGCAGAGGAAGGGGAAAACCAGCGTGATATTTTCCGTCAAGCCGGCAAAACAGCAGTTATACTTGGACATACTGGAGAAACTGGTAGAGTCCTTGTGAAATTGCTTGCTCAAGAAAAATTATTTAAAAAAGTCACACTTATTGGTCGGAGGGAAATTCCTTTAGACAAAGAGGTTGTTGGCCCAGAATTTGTAAGTTGTTATAAAAGTTTTGCTGCTGGACATGTTAAATAACTACATAATATACAATGCCCCTCCAATAACATTAACAATGCACAGTCTGTTATTACCTGTTGCACTTGTTGATTTTGTAAACATATTTTGAATAAGGGGCAACATGTTATTTTAAATTTATGATTAAAACTCAACATAAAGCTAATCTGTCTAAATGTGATCACAACAGTTTTCCTTCAGCAATGATAAAACATATGTTTTTATTATAAAATTATGTTTCTACTTTCAATTTCATTTTTGAACATGATACTTAATTGATGCAGTTTCCTAGATACAAATTTGCTGTATTTGTCTATCTCTGGTTCTCGCAAATTTATCCCTCATGCAAGTGATATAGACGTGAAAAGTGCATGCATACATGTACATCTTGATGTATGCTTATACCATAGGCTGATAATTTTTCAGATTTTTTTTTTACTCTTATATTGTTAACAGGAACAGAAAGTTGTTGACTTTGAAAAACTAGATGATTATGAAGAAGATTTTAAAGGGCATGATGTAGGATTTTGGTGTCTTGGAACAACCAAAGCAAAATCAGGAGAGGTTTGTTTTTATAAGCAGTTTCATGAAATATGGAGTATATTGTGTCCCAGCTCTGTCAAAATGTTATGTACTTTTTCGCTGACTTTCAATAAAATATATTTGGCTAATGAAACATATGTAAGGACCTGTGCAGACAAAAAAAAATTATTGACTTTGAGTGAGGATAAATTTGATACTGGTAGTTTCTGGAAAAAAAATATACCAACTATTTGGTGTTTTTGAATTTTAATACTAAATGTATATAAAGATAATTTATTGTGAAAATAGAACTTTTGGTATTATTCTCTTTGTCAAAGAGTGAAGTGAGTTGAATGTAAGCCATTCTAATAATGTTATTAATGTTTGACTAAACTTATCATTTAATATTAATACTAAGTCTTTTATCATTTTAATATATTGTATGTTATTTGTTCAGGAAGGATTTAAGCGTGTTGACTATGACTATGTGTTGAAGACGGCAGAGTTGGCAAAATCTGGTGGAATGAAACATCTTCAGTTTATGTCTACACATTCAGCTGATCATACCAGTAGTTTACTTTATACTAGAACAAAGGTAGGCTGATTAAGATATAAATTATATAAGTTAGTCGTTAAGATATATTAGTCTTTCGGGGCATCCCACTCCCAGTGCTTAAAGTTGTTGACTTCAAATCACTTGCCCCGATTGCTGTGGGTTCGAATCCACCAGAGACATTACATACTGAACAATATTTGAGCCGTGTCATGACAAAACCAACATAAGGGGTTTGCGACCAGCATGGATCCAGACCAGCCTGCGCATCAGCGCAGTCTGATCAGAATCCATGCTGTTGCTTACAAACTCTATAACAAGTAAAGATACTGATAGCGAACAGCGGATGCGCAGGCTGGTCTGGATCCATGCTGGTCGCAAAGCCATTATGTTGGTTTTGTCATGACACGGCTCATTTATACAAATTTCTATGAGTCACATTGATTATTATTTTTGCATTATAAAACTGAACACAATTATGGCAAAAAATATAGTAATTTTGAGTTTTACCTATTCAGTCACCATTTACACTTGGATGGACATAATGTCAGTTTAACAAAGGAAAATAGTAGAAGAAATGGCCTTAAAGACCATTTTGGTAGAATGTCTGCCAGTCCAATCTGAAATCATGTTCTGGTTATACATACCGATAATTAATCGTAATTAATTATTTTCAGGAGCATAACTGAAAAAAATATATTAAAGGTATCATCTTGAAACTTGTAAATAAGTAGATCTCAGTCAGGGAGAAGTGCAGTGTTCAAAAGCATATCTCTCTTTTGCATTATTTTGGAGTTATTGCCCTTTGTAAGTTTTCATAGTTAAGATAATGTTTTCAAAAAGTATGTCAAAGTTTAAATATTATTAACATGTTACAAATTTTTCAGAGTTGTGCTTTTCCAGATGTATTTTTTACAAAGACTATTAATCATTAAACAACTGATTGAAACTCGGGGAATCTTTTATTGAAAGCTTTAGATAATTTCATTTTATGTTTCAGGGTCAAGTTGAAGAAGCCTTAAAAGTGATGCATTTTGAGAGATTATCCATCTTAAGACCAGCGTATGTATGCTTTGATCAGTTGTAGATTATATGTTTTCTTCAACAAAGAATTTGCTTGAGATATTTAATTTTGTCAGAATTGTAATTTGTTTAATTCACACCAACTAAGAACATGTGAATTTCATTATACCAACACAGCAAGTATCATTAGCAGGACTTGTTATGCCCCCACAATGTGGGAGCATATAGCGTTGCACTTGTCCGTCCGTCCGTCAGTCCGTCCGTCATTCCGTCCGTCAGTCCGTCAGTCCGTCCGTACGTCCCGAAATCTTGTGAACGCAACTCCTCTTAAACCGGATGGCAGATTTTGCTTAAACTTACAGGGATGAACAACCTTAATGTGTAGATGGTAGTAAAGGCAGGAATTTTCGCTGCGACCAAATTTAACAGAATTATGGCCCTTTGTTGATTTTTTCACTAGATACTATGTAGAAATTTTGTGAACTCAACTCCTCTTAAACCGGATGGCAGATTTTGCTTAAACTTACAGGGATGAACAACCTTAATGTGTAGATGGTAGTAAAGGAAGGAATTTTTGCTGCGACCAAATTTTACAGAATTATGGCCCTTTCTTGATTTTTTCACTATATACTATGTAGAAATTTTGTGAATGCAACTCCTCTTAAACCGGATGGCAGATTTTGCTTAAACTTCCAGGGATGAACAACCTTAATGTGTAGATGGTAGTAAAGGAAGGAATTTTTGCTGCGACCAAATTTAACAGAATTATGGCCCTTTGTTCATTTTTTCACTCTATACTTTGTAGAAATTTTGTGAACACAACTCCTCTTAAACTGGGTGGCAGATTTTGCTTAAACTTACAGGGATGAACAACCTTAATGTGTAGATGGTAGTAAAGGAAGGAATTTTCGCTGCGACCAAATTTTACAGAATTATGGCCCTTTGTTGATTTTTTCACTTTATACTATGTAGAAATTTTGTGAACGCAACTCCTCTTAAACCGGATGGCAGATTTTGCTTAAACTTCCAGGGATTAACAACCTTAATGTGTAGATCGTAGTAAAGGAAGGATTTTTTGCTGCGACCAAATTTAACAGAATTATGGCCCTTTGTTGATTTTTAGTTTTCAACTTGTGGCACATGTAGTCCAAAAAATATTTGACCTAGAGTCATAAGATTGACAGAACAGTGGCGTGTGGGGGCATCAGTGTCCTATGGACACATTTCTAGTGTTTTTGTCAGTATTTAGTTAATTTCTGTTCAAAGATGTTCAACTGACTTTGTTTTCTTTTCAATTTGTATATAACATGATAAAAAGCTTGATGTAAAATGGCTACTAGATAGTTGGTAGCAAAAAAAAAGTAGAAAAGTCTTGTAATTTTATATAAGAAATCAAATAATGATTATTCCTTGCTTTATTTACAGAGTGTTGATGGTTGACAGACAAGAAAGTAGAAAAATGGAGGCCTTTGCTCGATTTGTACTCACCCCAGTGTCTAAACTGTTCCCCACAGCAATTACTGTGCCAATAGAGTATGTTGCCACGGCAATGATAAACATTGCTGTATCAACAACTGATAAAAACTGTGAAACTTTTGAAAACAAGGAGATACATGTTCTTTCAGGGAAAAGTCCAATTTGCCAGAAAAAGGAGAAAACTAAAACAAAATAAAAACTGAGGAACTATGTTATCTGTCAATAAGTACCTTATTTTATTTTACTATTATGATAAGTTGGTTTAAACATAATTATTTTAGCTTGATTGCAAAACAAGTTCTTGCAAATTATATTAATCACTTTTGAGTCAGCTTTCTGGAACCAACCAGTACTGGGGTCATATGAAGAAACATGGTCGTGACCCAATTAGGGCTCGAACCCATGATCCCTGGGTTGAGAGGCAGACATTTTAACCACTAGGCCACCCCTCCCCTTTAATTATGATAAGTTTCATAGTTTTTGGTCTTTTAAAGTGTATAAAATAACTGTCACACTGACAGTAACAGATGTTAAATTTCACAGAAAATATATCCCACAGGAAGAGAAAAAATCCCCAAAGAATTTTTTCATTGTTTTGTTGTATATTACATATATATGAGTTTTACATTTAATTATCATTCTGTATGAGATATGTTAGTGTGGTTTTGTATTTTCTCCCCTTTCAGATGGTAAAGCAAATTGTGCAGTTATTATGACATAAAGGATATTTGTTTAGTTCAGTGTAAGACCGGAATAATTTCACCGAGTGAGCACCAAAAAGGTATATTTCACAAGTGGTGCAGCCACAAGTGAAATATGAACTTTTTGGTGTTCTCAAGGTGAAAAATATTTTGATCTTACACTTAACTAAACAAATTTTCTTTTTATTATATGCAAAGAAACATTTAAAAAGACATTTTAACCTAATACTAAATGAAAAGCGCCAAATAATAATACAATGTGACGTCATTTACGATGTCACATCATTAAGTTGGTTTCCAGTACTGTGCATGCTGGTATATCACTGAAACAACGTAAGGGGCTTAAGTTTATAACAGTGACAAATATCAAATAGATATTTTCACTGTTTCAACCAGTGAAATATCAGTTTTATAATTCACTGATATATTTCTATAAACCACCGGAAAGCATATAATGAATATGTTCATATAAAAGCGGTTTATTTAATTTTTTTTAATTCTACATATATGTTCTTTGACAGAATGTTTGAAGTAAATTTTCAAGAAATTGGATAAATTTGCTAAGTATTATTATGCGATGTAACAATTTAGTCATATGATGATCTGAAGAATATGCTCATATTTCCTGTTATTCACCAGTTGTTAGCTCGACTATTCGAAGAATATGAGAGCTATTGTAGTCGCCCCGGCGTCGGCGTCAGTGTCTGCGTCGGCGTCTGCGTTGGTTAAAGTTTTTTGTAAAGTCAAATATCTCAATTATTACTTGAGATATTCAATTGAAACTTACAATACTTATTTATAGTAACAAGGTACATCAGATTGACAAGTTGGATAACTCTGCCTACAATATTGACAGAATTATCCCCCTTTTTAACTTAGAAATTTTGGTTAAAGTTTTTTGTAAAGTCAAATATCTCAATTATTGCTTGAGATATTCAATTGAAACTTACAATACTTATTTATAGTAACAAGGTACATCAGATTGACAAGTTGGATAACTCTGCCTACAATATTGACAGAATTATCCCCCTTTTTAACTTAGAAATTTTGGTTAAAGATTTTTGTAAAGTCAAATATCTCAATTATTGCTTGAGATATTCAATTGAAACTTACAATACTTATTTATAGTAACAAGGTACATCAGATTGACAAGTTGGATAACTCTGCCTACAATATTGACAGAATTATGCCCCTTTGGAACTTAGAAATTTTGGTTAAAGTTTTTTTGTAAAGTCAAATATCTCAATTATTGCTGGAGATATTCAATTGAAATTTAACCCTTTCCCCCATGAGCATATTGTGAAAAATGGCCATTTTCACTGAAAAGCCTCCTCTCACAAGTTCAAACTGCTATGAAACTATGAAAAATGCTTCAATACTAATCAAACTTGGCACAAATGTTGACTGGACCATTGCCTTTGTAACGACATGCTCAGTCTTAAATTTCCTGTTACCATGGCAACGAGGGGACATTTCAAAATTGCCAAAAATCACTTTTTTGCCTCAATATTTTCCATCAAAATTTATTTCAAAGTGCTGCAACTTCTCAAGGGATTGAGATAGAGTCAAAGGCTTTTCAGCGTTGGTTACACGTTACCTTATGATCGACCTGGGGTCATTTTAAGCCTCTCACAAGTCCAAAATTTTCTTGGCGATGGGGGACGGCGCCGAAAAAATGGTCAATTTTTTTAACAACATTTCTCAAACGAAAAACAGTGTTTGGGGCCTAATTAGGGCATTTTTTCACTGTTTGGGGCCACAAAAAGGGGGGGGGGGGGCAAAAAGCCGTCGAAACACGCTAATATAAGGGAAAAGGTTAAAATACTTTTTTATAGTAACAATGTACATCAGTTTGCAAAATTGCATAACTCTGCCTGCAATATTTGCAGAATTATTTGCCCCTTTGAAACTTAGAAATTTTGGTTAAAGAATAAAGGTCTTCAAAGATATTTACTTGAAACTTTACACATGCACTTAGGGTCATAATTGGAGAGTCATAATTGTATGTCACTGACCAAGTTCCATAACTCTATCTTGCATTAAGGCTGATTCATATCCACTTTTCTACTTAATCTCTTGGTTAATGTTTACATGCAAGTTTTACATATCTCAATAACTATTAAAGATATTTATTTAAAACTTCACATATGCATTTAGGGTTATAATTGTAGGTCACTGACAAAGATCCATAATTCTATCTTGCATTTAGGCTGATTTTTCTCCCCTTTTTCAACTTAGAAATTCATGGTAAAGTTTTGCTTGTAAGCTGTTATCTCCAAAACTACTGAAGAATTTGTGCCTTTTTTGGGACAATTTTATGCATTCATAATAATAAAGCGGTGATTTACTTGATAAAACATCTTAATAACAAACCTTTGTACCTTTTCTGTCAAATTTATGTATTCATCGGTAATTAGTATCATTATACTCAATAAAACACCCTTGTGACATTACCTTCCAAATAGTCAAGCCGATACTGTATAATTAGACTCTCTCTAAGGCCTATAACATGAATTTATAACAAAAACAATAGGCCCTTTTGTGAATTTAAAAAATTTAACATTATCGAGGCTCTTTTACTATCAAGCACTTAGAATAGTCGAGTGTGCTGTCCTTCCGACAGCTCTTGTTATTTTTAACCCACTGTTATATTTTGCACAATTCTTATTTTATATATATCAGGCATTCATTGTTTATTAATATGAATTTTTAAGTGTTACAAATGTACATCCTATGATGGAAAAAAAAATATTTGTCAGATTTTTATGGATGTGAATAGTGTATATATTATAAGATTGTGTAAAATTTTTGGCTTAACTGGCATTTATTATGGTGATAAAAAGGCAATTTAGAAATAGAATTTTTTAGAAAGTTGGTAATGGTGTATTAGTTTGTCTTGTAATCACAGGTTATGATATAAAGCAGGTGACTTACTATAGCAAATCATTCCTCATATATGCTATATTGTAGCTTTATTAACATTATAAGTCATGTATACACCCATCCATATTGTAGCTTTATTAACGTTATAAGTCATGTATACACCCATCCATATTGTAGCTTTATTAACATTGTAAGTCATGTATACACCCATCCATATTGTAGCTTTATTAACATTGTAAGTCATGTATCCACCCATCCATCCATGTGAACAAATTAATGCATGCTTACATTTTACAATGCTGTGCAATTTTTATTTAACTAGAGCAAATCATATTGAATGCTATGCATATTTCATGATTGTTTTATTGTATGTATGAATTTCAGTTTATCCTAACATTCCTAAAAATGTGCTTTTATAACATTCACTTTATGTCTTTTGTAATTTAATCCCTCCAATTTTCTTTATACCTGTGTTGTAAGGTTGGTAAATTTAAACGGTCTACAATTATACATTAATAACTTGCTTTAAAAAAAATTGTTATGACACCTATATATAGTCTAATAAATTTATATATTACAGTGAACAACAGCCAATCCTTTTAGTATTAAAAAAAAAACTGGTCATTTAAAGTGATCATATCTCGACAATAGTTGTAATCCCGAACTCTGCAAATGTTTGTTTTCCATGCTATTCCCCCGGTACAAACAAACTTACTATTATAGCTTCACAGTGCACTACCAGTAACTATAGAATAGTCAACCTGTTGCGCTTTTTTTCGGAGCTGTAACTATAAAAGTTTGTTTGTACCCCCAGATTTGCTGGGGAAAAAATCCAAAATATTCTTTATTCCGGAATAAATCTATTGGTCCTACTTACTAGCTTTCCTTGGTCACTAATAGTAATTATCAAATGTTCCGCAAGGGACCAGCTACTAAAGCTCATGGTTTCTAAATCAACTGTTTGAGACAAATGTCTAAAACACTCGATGTCAAAGATTAATTGACATGGAAAAATCACGACTCGTCCCAAGGATCAAACTAGTGTCTCCATGGTTTCATGTACAATGCTAGTCCTATTGAGCAAAGCAGGAGGCCAACTTTGTTGTGAGAATAATATAATCTCACTAACTTTTTAGTAAAGTGCACAGGAAAGAAATTTTGTTTAAAGAATTAACCGTAAAACCCTCTTAAAATTCTTGAAATGGATTTATGCCTTCAAAACTTTGTTTACTCTATTTAAAGGAATTTGAATGTTGATCATTTGTTTACAGTATTATCTTTCACTTACATTTCACTGTTATAATCTGTAATACTGTATTACTTTGTCTTTTGTCGTGTACAACTGTTGTGAAATAGGGGTGTACCCTATGTTTCATTTTCATTACTGTTGACAAAATTTAATGGTTTTGAAAAAATGTTATGTACACCTGATATATTTATTCTGTAATCCACTATTATTGTTTGTGTGTCTGTATAAATAAATGATGTTGATCATGGTGTAAAAACTGTTTGTTGTTTCTATAAGCAAGACAAATAAATCTAACAAGAATTTGTAACAGAGTTACCAACTTCCACCGCCTCAGGGAAGTTTTATATGCAGCATAAAATTGTGCTATTTCAAGATGGAGGTATGGATCTCGGTACTTTCAGTCCAA